AAAAGCGGTGGATGGAGGCAATATTCCCTTTAATTTTTTGTTTCCATGCGTGGACCTCTGAGGGGCCTGGACAGCATCGACTTCTGAAACTGGACGTCAATGCATCAACATGCAGATTGGTGTGCATGGAACCTTGGAGCAGCCTTCCATGTGCTACAAGATCCCTCATGTTGGCAATGTGATACTGAGATAGAGCATATAGCAAAACTGTCCTCATAATAATGGATAACCTGAAATGTATATCATTAATACTCAGGAAAGGTCCTGCATTCACCACTTCTAGCCTCAAGTAGTGCCCAGTCTACCTGAGATTACCCTGCAAGGGGAGGTTGTCTTAGCCTTTTGAGCAAATGAAGCTAATTGTCTCACGATGTTCCTAGGCAGTAAATCCACGAGTGGTTTCCTCCATCACTGGATGCTACTGTCAAGCTAAAAAGATATTTTACTGACCACACACGAGTAATGTGATATATGGGTTTTAGTGCCGATATGATGCCTCATTTGTAGCCTGATGTCCCAATGGCTGGCAGACCATACTAGACACCACTTTGAATGTTCATAGCTGGCAACAGGTTGCTGGAGCCCAACCAGCCTGTTGTTGCAAGCCCCAGAAAAGTATATTAACATAATAAACGATTTCCATTGGCAGAATCACATCTTAAATAATCTGGACTGTACTAAGAGTTACACCAGAAATTAATTTAAGATCAACAGCCAGGCCTGCAGTATACTGCACTGTACTTGCTAAAGCTACATAAGACTGAATCCTATTAGGAAAAAGGAATTTATACAAACATGGCATTTTTTGAAGAGAAAATAAGGTTGTGAAGACACTCAAACACTGTGGCATTCCCATGCAACAGCCTGACCAGTCAGAATTGGACTGGCTTGAAAATTACAATGGTCAGTTAGCTGTCCTTGCTGCATCTCCATGTCATAGAGTCATACAGCATGGAAACACACCCTTTGGACCAACTACTCCATGCCAGAAGCAATCTTTAGCCAGAAATGCTGAATGATGATCCATGTTGGCCTCCTCCAGTGATCCACAACATTACAGATACCAATCTTCATCCAAACCAATTCACTCCACATAATGTCAAGAAACGGTTGGTGACACGGATACTGCAAAGGCTACAGGCCCTGAAGAATTGTGCTCCAAAACTTATTGCTCCCCTAACCAAGCTGTTCCAGTACAGTTACAACACTGGTGTATACCTGAAAATTGCCCAAACACGTCTGTATACAAAAAACAGGGCAAATTCAACCCAACCAATTACCGCCCCATCAGTCTACTCTTGATCATCAGTAAAGTGATGGAAGGTGTCATCAACAGTGCCATCAAACAGCACCTGCTCAGCAATAACCTACTCAGTGATGCTCAGTTTGGGTTCCGCCAGGGCCACTCAGCTCCTGATCTCATTACAGCCCCTGATCTCATTACAGCCTTGGTTCAAACATGGACGAAAGAGCTGAACTCCAAAGGTGAGGTGAGTGTGACAGCCCTTAACATCAAAGCTATATTTGACAGAGTGTGGCATAAAGGAGCCCTAGTAAAACTGGAATCAATGGGTATCAGGGGCAAATTATCCAGTGGCTGAGGTTATACCTGACACATAGGAAGCTGGTTGTGGTCAGTCATCTCAGCTCCAGGACATCTCTGCAGGAGTTCCTCAGGGTAATGTCCAAGGTCCAACCATCTTCAGCTGCTTCATCAATGACCTTCCCTCCATCATAAGGTTGGAGGTGGGAATGTTCACCCATTCATGACTCCTCAGATACTGAAGAAGTCCATGTTCAAATGCAACAAGATCTGGACAATATCCAGGCTTGGGCTGACAAGTGACAAGTAACAAGTAACATTCGTGCCACATAAATGCCAGCCTATGACCATCAGCAATAAGAGACAATCTAACCACCACCCCATGACCTTCAATGGTGTTACCATCACTGAATCCCCCACTATCAACATCCTGGGGGTTAACAATGACCAGAAACTCAACTGGACTCAACATAAACACAGAGGCTGCAAGAGCAGGTTAGAGATGAGGAATAGTGCAGCCAGTAACTCACCTCCTGACTCCTCAAAGCCTGTCCACCACCTACAAGGCACAAGTTAAGAGTGTGATGGCATTCTCCCCACTTGCCTGGATGAGTGCAGCCCCAACAATACTTAACCAAATGTCTTTTAAATATTGTAACTGTACCTGCATCCACCACTTCCTCTGGCAGTTCATTCCAATCACTAACTACTCTGTAAAAAAAAGTTGCCCCTCATGGTCAATTGCGACTCAACCGATCAACATTCTTCTCATTCTGTAAAATAATATCTCTTTACATGTCTGTTTGTAGTATCCTTGTCCAGATGTAAGAGCTTCAACTTCTTTTCTCTTTTTAACAATGTTTAGAACAATAGATTTTTGAACAATGTACTTCAAAATTGTCATCTCCTTAAATTCTTCTCTCCTGTAAGAAACACTATATCTTTCTAGCTGATCAACCAAAATAATTAATGTTAGCTTGCTCCATTTCACAGAGTACATATTGAAATTATAACTCCACAACATATAGTTAAACAACAAAGTAAAACTATTATTTAATTCCGACAAGTCGCCCGTCTGAGTTAGAAGCATGCAGTGTATATCTTAAGTCAAATTTGTTTGCCAAGGATTAACATTGCTGAGTTATTTACACATATAGATTCTTTTTTGTCACTGATCTCCCACTGTAGAAAGTGATTCAATTTATGTCAGTTTTAATTAAGAATAATATATTTTCCTTAAAATCTTATTTCATGCCAGTTTGGACATCAAAGACAGATATTTAATTGTTCCATGTTCCTTATTTGCCACATTGCTGGTTTCAAAGTAAGAGAAAGAGGATTTCTGGCAGATATTTATGGGAATTGTAAAATTTTTGTTTGACCATTACATTAGATTAAACTTTGGGAACATGGATTGGAAAGGCAAGCTGGATAGTTCACTTGCTGCCTGACAGCTGTTAGAAATACACAGGAAACCAACTTCCAGAAGCTGCATGAGGCGACTCACTTATTGAGTATTCCTGCTCTGCTTGAAAATTAAGTGACGGCATTTCTGAGAGGCCCTCTCCAAGGGTGGGCATGGTTAGGAACTTGCTCTTCAGATAACCAAGGGCACAAACACGTAGTAAATCAGACTATGATTCGCTAAAAAGTTGTAGCAAAAATATTTAAGTAAAATGTACAATAAATAGTATCTCCTCAGTCAATTAATTTTGAATGCTCCATGTTCCAGTTTTAATGTTTTGAAACCGAAGTTAAATTGCTGCAGAAAGGGAGTTTTGCATTGTGGAAGTTGATGAGTTAAGTGCATCTCTGGTGAAAGTATTACTAAATAAATTTCAAAGACATCTTCTTCCAGACAATGAACCAAGTGTTGCTTGTTTTTTTTTTGAAATAGTGAACAGTCATAACTTTCTGAAGTTACTGAATTTGTAGAAGGTGCAAGTAAAAACAAAATATACATTACTTTCGCTATTTGTATTCTGTAGAATTACAAAGTTACAGGTTGAAATTTGATGGCAAGGATTTTAGCCTTATTTTTAAAAAGTTTAGTAAACTTCTGGTTGATTGCCCCTTCCTCAGAATTGCTCCTGTACACCAAAAAGGAGAGCTATCGGGTGGATAATTCTTTAGCACAGTGAGAGTTTAGATTAGGCATTGTCGACACTGGAGTTTAATAACTTGACATACCAATATAAAATGTTGCAGCCAATCTTAGTCTTTAAGCACTGTGTGAAAGATTTCTTTGTATTGCAATCCAATGCGGAACACGTTGTGCCCAAACATCTCCATGGCAATGAATCTATCTACTTAGGAGTGCATGTTCATTCATCGCTCAGGCTCTCTCTTCCAACTTTGCAGAACAGTGCTGGTCAGTAACCACTTCAACATTTAAAATCTTAGATCACTTGCATCATGATAAGAGTTTGCGGTTCAACATTCTTTCACTAACTTTTTCCTAAAGGAAACTTTCCTTTAGCTTTGCTTACATCCAAATACATTTCCTGTTTGTGTATTAAAAGACAGACAAACAGACAGATCATTACAAGAGTCATCTGAAGAGGTGCAACAAGCACAGTTAAATCCCCTTCACTTCACCAGTAAATAAGGACTGCATTGCTCTTGCCTTCAAATCTTTGACTAATGGAAAAACTTGTGACACAAGATTATTTTACCAAAATCATTCTACCAATCTTATTAATCCTTGACCTCCAGATCACTGGTAAATGAAGTCAAATTACATTTTTGTGACAATTCAACTTTAACTTATTGTCTCCATATCCACTGTCACTAAAAGACTGCCTCCATAACACCACATGTTTTTGCCCCTTATTCCTCATGTTGCTTTCCTTGAAATTCTTCATATTACTACTGGCCTTGATTTTTAAAAGTTTTAAGTTTATTTCCCCACTGGCACTCTCCACAAAGTGTATACCCTGCAAACGTTCTTACTCAAAGCCCCAATTCCATTGTGCCATCACTGCCAACCTCATTACCTCCTCACCCCCTCTCTGTTTAATTACTTCTTTGCACAGTCTCTCTTGACGTTACCTGTATGATCATTCACTGGTCTACTCCTTGTTCCTCTGACTTTCAAGGCCATTTTTGGGGGAAGCTTTTGCAATCTGTAGCTACCTCCCAATATCCCTTTCCTCTTTCCATTTAAAATGATAACAACTTTCACTCCTTTTCTGGTTTTGCAACTTCTTTACATGAAGAATCCACCTTCAATTGACTGATCTGCAAAGCATTTGAACCAATGGAAAAGATGCAGTTAGAAAGAATTGTCTAATCTTGGTGATGTGCCAAGATTAGAGAAGCTAAAGCTTTACAATCCTGGTAAGGTAAGCAAATAGACCACACTGTTCCTCTGCTGGTTATGTTGCAGATCTTGACCATAATGCTATTATTATAAATGCCCAAAGTTACAGGCTTCCATGCAAAGCATCACTTCATGTTTAATGGTAAAAAAATTCATGTTTATTAAATCATAACAAACACAGTTACAAAGTAAAACTTACTACAATTTTTTAAACTTAAAAAAAAAACTAACACGAGTTCGCAAAATCAGTTTTATAGGATAAAGAGTCACAATCAAAGTTTCAGTGGAATTACAGGCCAGTACTTTGGCTGCTTCTTATCACACTTTCTATCAAACAGGAGTTGCATTGCAGTTTCCATTCCTTGGATTTTAGTAGCATCCTCTCCATACAGTCTCTTCATTTCAACCAGTCTTCTTTCACCAGGTCTTTCTGCAGGTGGTTGAATTGTTCTCCCCAAGGCACTGTGAAAATCACGGTCAGCCAATACATACGCTGCCTGTCGTTCGTCATCATACTGCTGCTGTCGCTCTGTGAATATACAAATAAAAACAATGAACAATGTGCAATAAATGAAAATACTGACATCCAAACTTCAGAGACCAACAATGAGCATATTGCTCCACTTGATTATGAGTCAAATGTTCACGTTTGAAGCTGTGTGGCTCATGAAAATTGCACTCCTAGAAGTGGGAGTAGTGGGCAAGTTATCTCTACTAGAACTAGGATTCCTCAATGGACCAGATGGCCTTTTTTGCTGCATGTTCCAAATAATTTTATGTGATTCTACACATGGAACACAGAAACTGCAAAATTATGCAACAGTTAAGTTACCAAACAGGTCCAGTTATATTAATGGTATTTCTTCTGTTAAGTCAATATAGCTCACATCTATCTCTCAAAATAGACCCCAATACAAAAAAAAATTACATCTTTGACCACATATACTATATATCCATACATACACATATGTCTGTCTTCATTTGATCATACACATCAGGAGAGATGGAGGCACAGTAATAACATCACTGGCATGGTAATCCAAGGGCCCAGGCTAATGCTCCAGGAATAAGAGTTCAGGTGGAATTTAAAGTTAGGTTTAAATCTAGATTATAAAATCAGTCTCAGTAATGGTAGCTATGACAGCTGTTATTCATGGCTGTAAAAACCCACCTTATTCATTAACTCAGTTTAGGGAAGGTCATGCACAACCCAGTCTATCCAGACCGCTGACAGTGTGGCTGACCTTTAAGTGCCGACCACATTGGTCTAGCAAGCCTTAAGTTTAAGGGTAATTGGGCAACAAATGCTGGCCTTGCTAACAGCACCGACATCCCATGAAGGAATAAAGAAAAGATACGGGAATAGACATAGTTCAGTATCTTACAGGCAAAAATAAAATTTGGTTCATATTTCCACTAAAATAGGTAAACTAATTAGGGGTAATGTGTTATGTTGTGAAACAAAAGATACTGGTACGTTATGGTTTAGAACCTTGAATAAGTCTCCAACTTGGGGAAAAAGTGGTTCAACGTATTTTGCTGAGTTCTTGCACCATGACCTGGGACTAGATGTTAAATCATCACAACCTCAATGAAGATAGCAGGAGGGCATACAAAGATCAACACCAGATATACCTAAAAATGAAATGAAAACAGAAAATGCTGGAGACTCCCAGCAGGTCAGGTAGCACAAGTGGAGAAAGAAACAGTTAATTTGGAGATCAAAAGCTCCTCTTCAGAGTTGTTGACAGACTCATGTAGTTTCTCCAGCATTCACAGTATTTTTTGATGCCAAAAAATGAGGTGTAAACCTTGAGAAGCTACAACAAAGGACCACATATGTGCCACAAACAAGCAGAAGCAGCATGCAATAAACAAGGCTAAGTGATTCCATAACCAAGACATCAGATCCAAGCTCTACAGTTCAGCCACATGCAGTCATGAGTGGCGGTGGACAATTAAACAATAAAAAAAGGAGGCTTCAGAATCCCTATCCTCAATGAGAAGGGAATCCTCGTATGGGCGCAAAAGCCAAGGCTGAAGTATTTGCATCCATATTCAGTCCACTGATGCATCTTGGCCTGCTTCTGAGGTTCCAATTTGATTCACTCCACATGATATCAGGAAATGGCTTAAGATTTGATATTGCAAAGACTATGGGCCCTGGCAACATTCCGACAATTGTACTGAAAACATATGCTCCAAGACAAGCTGCATCGCTAACCAAACTGTTGCAGCAGTTACAACATTAGCATTAGTCTGACAATGTGGAAAATTGCCCAGATTTTTAAAAATTTATTATCTATTTGTCACGTAATTTGTTATAAAATACAGTGAAATGTGTTGTACAGTGTCGCTGCTCTCCAGTGCCACGAGTCTCTAGTGCCATCTTAAAATGCAGAAAAATAAAGAAAGTGTGCCACAAGACCCCTTTGCTCCACTGCCGTTGCTGGAACACGAGTTGTGACTCTTTGGCACCATCTTGCCTCCATTGTAGCCCCCACCACTATGAGTCCTCGATGGAACTTGGCAAAGCTGCCGCCACCAATGCTGCTAGGTACCGCACCAGCCCAAACTCAACTCTGTCGCTGCGAGTACGTTTTGGGCCCACCTCACTGATGCAGTCACTGCCAGGTCTTGCACTAGGCCCAAACTTGCCTCCACCAGAGTGGGTATGAGTCAATGCTAGGTCTGCCTCATCGATTCAGAAGTGCTGGGCTCACTGCTGCTGATGCCATTGCCACGGCCGAGCTCTGCCAGACTGAGGAGCAGTGCTAGAGCTCCAAGCAGCCCAATCTGGGCGCTCGGCCTGCCTCCGGGACTCCACAACACAGCCACCAACACTGCTGCAGCATGGTAGGACGGGTGAGGCTGGACATGGTCATGGAACAGGCGGCACCACCACTTGGGCTGATGGGCAACTCAACAGTGCTTGCCATATCATCGCTGTGCAACCAGGACACTTGCCTGATGTTCGCATGCCTGTATATGCCCTGGGCGCAAAAAGCAAAACAAATCCAACCTATCAATTCCTGCCCTACTGGTCAACTCTCAATCATCAGCAGAGTGAATGTTGGGGGTGGTCAACAGTGCTATCAGGCAGCTCTTGTAAAGGAATAATGAGTTCACTGACACTCAGATTGGGTACCATCAGAGCCACTTGGCTCCTGACCTCACTACAGCCAAACATGGACAAACGAGCTGAACCTCAGAGGCAAGAACAAAGTGATTGCTTTTGACATCAAGGCCTCATTTGACAGAGTGAGAGTTGAAGGAACCACAAAAAAACTGGAGTTAATGGGAACCACAGGGGAAAATATCTCTACTGGTTGGAGTCATAACTGGCACAAAAGGAAGAAAAATAGTTGTGAATGTTGGACATCAATCATCTTTGCCCCAGGATACCTTTGCAGGAGTTCCACAGGGTAATGTTCTAGATCCAAACATCTTCAACTTCTTCATCAATGACATTTCCACCATCAGCAGGTCAGAAGTGGGAGAGTTGGCTAATGATTGCACAATGTTCAGCACCATTCACGATTATTCAGATACCGAAGTGGTTCTTGTCTATCCGCAGCAAGATCTGCGTAACAACCAAGCATAAATTGATAAGTGGCAACTAACATTCAGATGACACAAATGCCAGGCAATGACCATCTCCAACAAAAGAGAATGTAACTATTACCTCTTGATATTTAATGACATTAAGACTGTTGAATCCGCCACTATCAACAATTTGGGGCTTAGCATTAACCAAATGTTGAACTGGACCAGTTATATAAATACTTCGGCTACAAGAGTAGGTCAGAGGCTAGGAATTCATTGGTGAGTAATTATCCTCTGTCTCTCCAAAGTGTTGGGTCAAGGAATAGTAATCTAAATTTACATTTCAGTAAATAAAAAAAATGATATTTTAATAGATGATAAATTGTGTGAAGAAAATCTAGGCAACAAGCCAGTCCATCTATATGTCATATCCTACCCCCACGAAAATGTGATGACTGTTAAATTAAAAAATGTACGCCAATCTGATTTGTCTTTCACAATCTTGGCAGTTTCGTGATACAACGCTTGCTTCCCCTTCATGTGATGGCTGAAATATTGATGTTTCAACTGGCAGCAACTCCTTCATCAGTATGGAAAATCCACAAATTAATGATTTAAAAAAAAACTCTCAGAACAAAATCAGATTCAGTATTACAACATTCAGAGTCATTCTGGCCAACCACTTGATGATTCAGATTTTTGCTACACTTGTGATTTTGAAGCCACCAGGGTCATCTACAGACAATAGTCAAATGGACAAAATCTCCTTCATTTATAGTTTAGCATTTCTCTTAAGGATGACAGAGCTATTCATCAATGGTGGAAAGAACATTTTGAACGACACCTCAAATAAGAGTCTACAATTGGAGATGATATTGTTTGGGTTACCGCTAGTACCCTGTGGTAGAAACCAGGGGTTGACACCAATCGATGGGAGACCGGCAACAGCAATCAAATGGAACAAAAACATCAAAGCCTAGGCCCAAATGGTACTCCAGCTGAAGCCTCAAAAGCTCATGGATACTTGTTCACATCAACACTTCATGTACCCATCCTTCCAGATTTCGGAGGAAAAGTAACTCCCCTCTACTTCGGGAATGCAACAAGTGTAACAAATCATACTCTGGTACTTAAATTCCTGAGAAGGGAAAATCCTGCCATACATTCGTCAGAATCACCTACTTCCTGTGACAGTGGAAATCCTCCCAGAGACAAAATGCATTTTTAGACCTTCAAGAATATACCTTTGACATGGACTTTCTTGTCAGACAAATCAAAGTAAAACGTGAAGAAGAATATTAGGCAGTCTTCATTATATTTATCGACCTGACTAAAGGATTGTGCTCAGTAAAGTGCAAGGTTCTGTGGGTTATGCTCCAATGATTTGGACGTCCAAGAATCTTCTCCATAATCCTGCAACTGTTGAGTGGGGGAATCTGAAACAGATGCTTCAAAAAATTTGGAGTGCTGTCAAGCAATCTAGTGATGGTTCCCATACTAAAATCTGACATTACCCATTTATCTCAAAAATAAATTTCCCCTGCTGTTAATATGAAGTATTTTCTAGATGGAAAGCTCTTTAATCTCAATGGCCATTGTGCCTAAATTGTAAGCACATATGATCTATAATTTGCAGTGTGGTAAGTTACTTTGTACCAATTTGCAAGCCACTCAATCTCTTCAAAGCTGCATATTAAAAAGCATGGCCTATCCTTGAACATTGCCTAAACAAAACACATATCAATCCAATCTGTTCAGGCAAATATCACCCCTCTCATGTCTGTTGAAGGAGACACACTGGAATATATTGAGCACTTCCCATCAGGTGTATTTGACAACAAGGACTTCTGAAAGTCAATAAAAATTCAAGTGTACACAGCAATTGCAGTCATCAAACTCCCATGTTGCAGGGAGACCTGTACATCAGCAGCAAATAAGGGCGCTATATAAATTCCATCAGTGATGCCTCTGCTGCATCTTCTG